TATTTTGTCTTCATCTCACCTCGCGAATTAGAACCATGGGTTCGTTTGTTTTGCTTCTTGGGTTATGAGGTAAAGCATAAAAGTTATTAGTGTTAGAATTTCTTATCTAATCATGCTGGTAAAATAAAAAAATAAAAATAAAATTGTAAAATTTAAATATAAAAAATAAAATAAATAAATATATAAACACACTGAATTCTTTTAATTTCATTTCTCTCAATATCGCTGTGCATAAATGAGATAAATGAAATTAGAAAATAGAAAATAGTTTATTTCTCAAACAAACAAACAAACACACAAAATAGTTTATTTCTCATACATATTTACAATAATATACAAATCGTCTAAAGAAATTAAGAATTTTATAAATATTTTAAATAAGGTAAATATAATCAATATAGTACATATTTTTTAATATATCTTAATATTTTTTTTATTAATATCGTGAAATTCATAGTTACATTAAATAAGGAAATATATATTTATTATTTATGGGCATGCTAAATACTTCCTTCGTCCCACAAAATTGAATCATTTGATTAGAGATACGGTATTTAAAGTAAATATATTTAATTAGTTAATAATAATTAATTATAATATTATTTTTTATATAATTAATAATATTTATAGTTTTAAAGTAAATTTAATATATATGATTAAAAAAATCAAAATATATGTTTAAATATTTAAAAGTTACATAGCAATTAAAAAATATATTTAATATGGATATCATTTTGTAGAGAATAAAATTTTCTAAAAATATTTTTATAAAATATGTGTAGTTTTAAATATAGATAAAAAAATATTTATTTTTTAAAAAGATATAGAAATAAAGAAATTTTGAGTGAATTCTACGTCATTTATGATGTTATATGTTATGTAGTTAATTAAGTTGATTTATATTTGTTAAATATGTTTTGACTTAATAATTTTTATCAAAAATAGAAAGATGTCAATTGTTATGAATAGACAAAAATAAAAATAATGTCAATTGTGGTGGGACGGAGGGACTAATAAAATATATTATTACTAGTTGATCAACATGGATGGGTTTATCTTGTCCGCGGTGAAAATAAAGGCAGAGATTATTCTGCAGCAATCCAATAAATCCGATTTAATGATACTTCTATCTAAATCAAAATTTATTAATTTTAAATAATTTAGTTGCATTGTTATATAGAGTAAGCTTCCAAATCTATCCGTATCATGTGCCTTTTTTTAATTTTCGTTTTATTTTTTAAAGTCACTTTTTTATTTCGTAATTGATTATTTTATGATTTTAATCTTCTAACTGAAAGTATGTATAAGAATAATCTTGGGGTGTGTTTGTGTGGGGGCTTGGATTTTGAGTTGAGATTTGATTAGTAAAAATTTTGAATTTGAATAGTTGTATGACGGGATATAAATAGGCGTTGATGTGATGTTTTGAATATAAAATTGATTTTTAGTATAATATAAAAAATGAAAAATAGGTATTTGATTTGATTTTTTGGGGGGAAAAAATTGGATGAATAGTGTAAATCCAACCCAATCCTCCAAACAAACACACCCTCAGTAACATTTCATTCGATCAGCTAGAAAATATATATATTTTTATTTTGGAACGTCTAATTATAAAGTAACTATTTTATTAAATACCCTATTTTATTTCATAAATACTCTTAGGGGTTGTTTGGTTCATAGACTTTTTTGGTGGGATTGGGATTTCACAGTAGGATTTATATGTGATGGAATTTATTATATTTAGGATTTGAAATCCCATATTATGTTTGGTTGGTAAAATGTGGCGGGAACTATATTTCGTGGATTTGGATTTTTTATATTCTAAATGACATAATTGTCCTCTTATGAATTTTATTTATTTTGACAAATTAAACCTCTAATTTATTATTAATATAAATTGAAAAGATATCAATAATTTTATAGGATGACAATAGATTCGCGTAAACTCGAGACCCGACCAAGCCCGACTTATTTATTTGAAGTTGAGCCCAATTATTTGAGTATTAGGCCTGGATCCGGATCATGATCATGATCAGAGTAATATAATAATAATATATCAACCATATATATCAAAAAATAATTTCGAATAATATAATTATATTAAAAATATTTTTTGAGTTTAACATATTCATTATTTTATTATAATATTTTTCTAATAAAATACATAAATTTTAATATACATTGGATCCGGTACATGTGTAATTTTAAATTAAAATTTAAGAATTGTAAAAAAATGGATTTTTCGGATCCATCAAGTCTTACCGGGTATAGTCTCGGTTGGATCTAGTATAATCGGATCCAATTTAAATCTCGGATTTAACAATATATATTTGGGATGAATATCAATTCCGACTGAACCCGACTTATGATCGTCCCTATAATTTTATAATTCAAATAAAATTTATAATAAATAATAATTTAAACATTAATTTATTTAAAAAATATTGTACAATAAAAAATAATATAAAATTAATTAAGTATATAATTCAAATAATAATTAATGTTAAAATTATTTAATTTTTTATATAAATATAATACTATTATTTTTTTTATAAGAGGATATAAATGTAAAAATTAAAATTTCAAGAATGGGATTTAAAAGTAACATGGGTATCCCCATTACAAAAAAATCCCTTATTTGTAGGATTTTAGACCCATTTTTCAAATCCCATCATTTTAAATTCCACCTTCTTTTTATTAACCAAACATGGATTTCATAGGATTTTAAAATCCAAATCCCATAGAATCCCATCAAATCTTTGAACCAAACAGCCTCTTACTTTACATTATATCATTACTTTTATACCAAAAAGTAGGAGCAAAAATGTCATTACATTACATTAAGTGTTTGTGTTTTAATTTTCCAGTGAAATTGTATGTGCATGTAATGCTTCATATATAAAAAAAAAAAATGATATATTTTTATAGAAAATATGAATATATTTGTTTAAGGGTTTAAGTTTTTTTTTTTAAGTTTAAATAGTAAATTTTTTGAATTTAAATATTTATTTAATGCTATATAAATAAATAGTAATATGCTATTTTAAACATAAAATAAAATTTTAGTATAGTATACAGAAATATAATTTAATTTGACATGTTTAAAAATTAAAATTATAGAATGACAAAAAAACAAAAAAAGATATTTAAAATCCGCAAACAAAGACAGTGTATATATATATATATTAGAGAATGGATTATAAATTGGATGCAATCTCATATATTATCAAATAATCTAAAAAAATTTGTTATTAAATATAATAAAAATTGTTATTGAATAATATAAGAATTTTTATTAATCATATTATAGCCGTAATTTGCTAAATGATACATAAAATTTTATTATGTGTTTATTTAATTAAAAAACTATACATTTCATAAAATTAATTGCAATTTATTCACCTAATATTTCTTCAGTGGTACGAATCTTTATAAATATTACTCCATTCGTTCATTAACAAATTATTTATTTTTTAATTTTGGTCCGTTCCATAATAAAGTATTCATTTTTTTTAGTAATTGTATTATCTATCTAATATTACAAATATTCTTACAATTTACAATATGTTACACAAATGTCATTACATTTTTATATCACACAATACTAATAAGGTTATTTTAATCATTTATACTTTATTCCTACTACATCCTAATATAATACTCATATTTCTAAAACTCCGTGCAAATAACAAACGGATACATAGATATGAAACGAAAGGAGTATAAAAATTATAATTTTTACTCACATTAACACAATATATAATATGTATTTTATTCATTAATAAAAAAAGTTAATAATTAAATACAAAATATTATTTTTTATATTATCGACGCAATTCTTCATACTAATAAAAAAACCAATTTATCTAAAACAACTCTAAGTAAACAAACCATAAGTTTCTTTATTTAATTCAAATCATATACTTCTTTCATCCCTTAACAATCTATCCATTTTTCTATTTTGGTGTGTCCCATAACTAAGTATCTATTTCCATTTTTAGTAATTGTACTGTCTATCTAACATTACAAATATTCTTCCAATTTATAATATATTACACAAATGTCATTACCTTTATATCATACAATACTAATAGGGTTAATTTGGTCTTTTTACCTTTATTTCTACTTTACCCCAATATAATACTAATATTTCTAAAACTCCGTATAAAAAACAAATGGATACATAGATATGAGACGGAGGGAGTACATCTCAAATAAATAATTAAATACAAAATATTATTCCCTCCGTCCACAAGTAAGCTTCTCATTTATTTTTTGCATTTTGATATTTAAATATTAATTATTATATCAAAATATAATACAAATTAAGAGAATGATAAAAATAGTTTTATTAGTATTTTATAATAATATATAATGACATTTGTACAATAAAATTATACAAATATAAAGATATTTTTAATGTTAAAAACAATTACCGCAAATATAAATGAAAAATTTACTGATGGACGAAGATAGTATTTTTATATTACCGAAAATATTCTTCTTAATAATAAAAATAAATTTATCTAAAAACGAATAAATTTATTTAATTTAAATCATATACATCTCACCTTAATTTATAAATCTATTTTCAAGATAAAAAGGAAAGTTCCATTTAATTGTCTCAAAATATTTTGCATGACCCTCCTAACTCGCCTCCACACTCCAGCAGCCCACGTGCTGGTCAAAATTCCTGGATGATCTGCACCGTCCATTTTCTGAACTCCTAACTTCTACGGCATAGATCGTTTCAGGACTCAAACTCCTGGTACTAGCTCCAAATCAGAAATTACCTTACTAGCATTATTTTTTTCCAGCTCCCGGTCCAAGCACCTGAGGGAGTTCACGCTCAATTAATACGCGCCCAAACTCCCACGCCAACCGCGTGCACTGCCTGGGAGCAGAGATCCCTGGACCTCGTAGGTGATTTTCCCTAAATAAGAACGCATTATAGTTTGTCAAACAAACACCACAAAACACATTTGAAAAACAGAATTTCAGAATTAAACTAAATGGATTACTCGAAGTATTCCACAAATCTTGCTATCCTCTCTCTTCTCTTAGCGACCGTCATTCTCCTCTGTTCCAGGCAGAATTTGTCCTACAAATCCTTGATTTTCTCCTCAGAAAATTCTCCGGTAGGTGAAGGCGCTGTAGATTTCGAATCACGTTTCTATCAATTTTATTTTCCCCTAATTTGATTTGCGGAGTGTTTGGTGGATTGATCTTGAATTTTTTTTTTTACCTGCGTAGAAGGATGATCTCCAAATAGCGCTGGAAAGAGCGTCGACGCCGGAGAAGACGCTGATCATCGTTGTTATAAATGAAGCGTACGTCGAACCTATCGAGAATGAATATCCGACGATGTTCGACATTTTTCTCGAAGGATTTTGGATCGGAGATGGCGTCCGATCGCTCGTCGATCATCTGCTGGTGGTTGCGATGGATGAGAAAGCGTATAACCGGTGCGAATACCGGCGGATGAACTGCTACAAGCTTGCGGCGGCGGCGGACGGCGAGGCTTTCGCCGGCGAGAAGGTTTATATGTCCAATGAGTTCATCGAGATGATGTGGCGGAGAACTGCGTTTCTATTGGACGTCCTTGGGAGAGGTTACAGTTTCATCTTCACGGTAATTTTTTACTTTCTGCCATTAATTAATGCGGTTCATTGATTTTTGGTTGAATTGCATTTCACTTGCTTTTTATGCGTTTTTTGTTTTTTTAAAGATAAATTGAATTAGAAAACTTATTAAGCTCTTAGAATCTGAACAGTAAAATCAAAAGAATCATATGGAAATTATACTAAGTTTAATTAACATAAACATTAACTATTAAAAAATTTAGAATAGAACATATCTCGAAATTTATGAATCCTTTGCTTGACATGCATATAGTATATACTGTTGTGTTGTTTTTTTTTTTTTTTTAATACATTTTAAAAAAAAGTTTTCTAAAATAAATTATGTAAAAAAAATGGTAACATTATAATAATTTGAATAAGAAAGTACTTAAATGTGGAATTTTATTTTGGTAAATAATATTATGTTAATTTTACTTTATTTATTATAAATTATCAATATTACATAAAATATAATTAGGTATGTCTAATTATTTAAATTTATTAGATGTGTTTGGTATGTGATTTTTATTTTTATTTTATTGTTTAAATAGTAATTTAGATGTGGTTTTTGTTTTTGTTTTTGTTTTTGTTTTTTTTTTTGAAAAATCAATTATATTTTTATTAAAAAAAAATAGTAAAAATTAGACAACATAATTAAAATTGAAGAATAATTGCCAAAAATCATGCCAATATTCTAACAAGTACTCCATATCCTTAAGCCTCTTGAAGATAGGTTGAAACTAAAAAATGTTTCAATTTAGGAAAGATTTCCTTCCCGATATTTATTTGTCTTTGTTATTAAATGAAGAAATAATGCAGGTTTTAGGGAAAATCAGTACTAACTGACCAACTCACCCCAACTAAATGCATATTTACTTTGGGAAATTATTTTGAGTTACATGGAATGTTTTTTTTATTTAATTTTTTTTTAATTTTTTTTAATATGTGAAAATATATAATATTGTATATTTGCTTGAGATATCCTTTTTTTTTTTTTTTTTTAATTTTAAGTTTGTATCAATATTTCTTTATTTCTATTTTATTCTAGATAATTTTGAAATTGAAGTTTTGATTTAAATTTTTGTTTAAATATTTTTATAATATAATATTTTGTGATTCTATTTTATTCTAGATAATTTTGAAATTGAAGTTTTGATTTAAATTTTTGTTTAAATATTATTATAATATAATATTTTGTGAAAAAAATAATATATTTTATTAAAAATGGTACGGAACTGAATAGTGTTAATTTGGATTTCAATATCAAACAAAAAAAAATTATATAGTGTTAATTTAACACTATTATTTTAAGTAATAAAAAAAAAATGCGTGTATGAATTGCCCTAAAGATGCACTAAAGTAGATATTGTATATTTGATGTTTTCTAAAGTTTGAATCCTCAAATCTCATTTTTCATCTTTTTTTTTTTTTTTTTTTTTTTATCTTATTATAAATAATTATGTAATTTTTATGCAAAAATAAACATAAAAAGATTTTTTATCTGATTAAAGTAGGAGTCATAAATTACTTGTAGACTACGGCAAAAGTTCAACCTATTTTATTGAACTTTTTACATCATTGCCTGTTGCGGTCAATATTGGGTGATTGTCATAGTAGATTAGGACCATGAAAATAAAAGTCAATAATATAATTAAATATTTAAGGATAAACACATTTTTGCAAAGATAAATTACGTGCAAAAAAAATGTACTTACGGTGTGTTTGTTTGGATGTTTGGATTTTGAGTTGGAATTTGAATAGCTGTATGCTGTGATATAAATAGATGTTGATGTGATGTTTTGAATTTAAATTGATTTTTAGTATGATATAAAAAAAATAGATGTTTGATTTAATATTTTTGGGAGAAAAAAATGGGATGAATAATATATTTAAAATCCAATCCCTCAAACAAACACACCTAGTACTTTTTTAATATATATATTTTTTATTATAATTTTTTTATTTGACTAGAATATTTGAGACTATTTGCATTTTATGATTGCAACTATACTGTACATTTGATATATTTTTTTTTAACACTTATTTTGAGTAGCAGTCCAAATATACTCATTTACAACAACGTTTTTTAAATAAATCATCATACATACTTTTAATTAGGATTGTGTGTAGAAGTATACAAAATAGATCAAGTTTTCTAAAAATTATTTATAGGAAAAAAAAGTACTCCCTCTTAGATACCATGTCCATGTTGCCGTTTTTATCCGTCCCACGTACCATGTCACTTTTTTTTTTTGAAAATGATTACACACTTTAATCTCATTTTAAATTTTTTAATTTTAATTAAACTAATTAGTTATCTTAATATTAATTTATAATTATTTATATTATACGATAATTATTTTCACTAATACATTCTTAATTATCTACTTAATTATACACCTCTAAAAATACCGTGTCTACAGTGTAGCAGACACGGTATCTAGGACGGAGGGAGTAGTACGTAGTGGAATTTACCCAACGTCAAAGTGTAGGACCGGGGTGTGGGTTTTGTTAGTGTTTTGAATTTGATTTTTTTTTTTAAAGAAAATTAATTTAAATAGTATTTTAACGTTATTTTTTAAGAATCATACTAATTGAATGGTAAAAATTTGGATTTAAAATGCAAATAAATCAAAAAGATTGCTGAGAATTTGTTTATTTGTATTTAAAAATAAAAAATAAAATTGGAATTTGATTTTATCTTTTATATTATAATATTTAGTTTTGATATGATATTTTGCAATAAGAAATAAGTATATATTTTTTTTTAATAAAGAAATAGGATTGTCAAATAGAAAAAAAAGTTGAAATCAAATTTCAAAAGAATAGAGTCATGCAGTGTTTGAATTTAATTTTTTTTTAATAAAAAACATGATATGAATATTATATTTTAATATAAGATTTGTCTAAATTTTAATACATTTTAAGACGAAAATAATATTTATTTTAGAATGGGAAGTAGGAGAATAATTGTGAAAGCATAATAAAGCACTTTCTAAATATTATAAATAGCAACAAATTAAAAGCTATGCTAAAACGAAAACAGTACAAAAATGGGAAATAAAATAAATATAAGGAGAGTATTATATTGTGGAGCCATTTGTAGTAAATTATACATAAATAATTAGGTGTATAGGTTGCAAATAGTTCAGCAACATTAAATGCCCCCCGCCCCACTAGTAAGTTGGCATACAGAAAACACCCCTAGCCAATTAGATTACACTAAAATGACTATTAACACGTTGAAACACATGGAAATAGGCAATAGCATTCCATCTCCCGTCGGTGCGGTTACAAATCATCCATGCTATTATGTTTTTATCTGGATAAATTGTTTTTTAGTCTTATAATTGGACCTTTATCATTTTAGTCCCGTAAGTGAAGCTTATCGCACACTAGTTCCATAAGTGAAATTTTTTTGTTATTTTAATTCTCCGGTGCCGGAGACGTCCGTATTGCTCGTCGGAATCCACATGTCCGCCAGGTGTCCCACCAGGTCAACGACACCTGGCGGACATATAGATTTTATTTTATTTTTTAAATTTTTTTTCAATTAGACCAAATAAAAAAATTATAAAAGACAAATAAAATTTTAAAAATTTTAAAAAAATTAAAAAAATGAAAAAATAAAAAATAAATTCATGTGTCCGACAGGTGTCGCTGACCTGGCGGACACGTGGATTCCGGCGAGTCACGCAGGCGTCTCTGGCGCCGGAGGACTAAAACAACGAAATTTTTTTACTTATGAGACCTGTTTGCGATATGTTTCACTTACGAAACTAAAATGATAAGGAGGTCAAGTTACCGGACTAAAAACACAGTTTACCTTTTTATTTTTATTTCTATATTTTAAATGCTAGTCTTTACTATAATACTTCCTCCATCCTATAAATAAAGTCTTAATTAGGTTGGACACAAGATTTAAGGAATATTGATATTATATTGGTAGTTGGTAAAAAGTATGAATAAAAGACTTTTTTGTCATTGTGAGTGTATTAGTGTAAAAAGTAGTGGCAATTGTGTAATAAAAAAGAAAAAGTAAGGGTAGTTTTATGGTGATATGATTATTTATGGAAATAAGACTATTGTTTTGGAACGGACAAAAATGGTAAACAAGACTATTGTATTGAGACGGATGGAATATATAATACCCCTCCGTCCTGGTGCAATGTTGCCGTTTACTTTTTACACGTAAATTTTTTAATATTACAATTATAATGGATTGTAATGAAAAAGACGAAAATATCTCTATTAGTATTGTATAATATAAAAATAATAACATTTGTGTAATATAGTGTAAGTTGAAAAGATATTTATTATGTTAGATAAGTTGTGTAATTACTAAATGAAATGGTAATCTTATTTTGAGACGTACGAAAATGGAAAATGGTAACCTTTCGATGGGACCGAAGAAGTATTTATTTTTTAAATAAAAAATCAAAATATATTTAAAACATTTCAAAATGCAAACAAAAATACCTTAAATCTTACTATACTTTTTTTTAAAAAAAAAAGAAAAAAAATCTTACTATTATCTTTGATTACATAATAGCCATCGTATTTTATAATAAATGTATAAAATCTTTTTTATTTTATTTATTGAATGATATTTATGTTATACTTATTAAAATAACATTTTAATTCAGATATTGGTATTCTTCGTAAATACGTGTCTAATTATATAAATATTATTCAAACAAAAATTGGAAAAATATCTTTAATATTAATTTTTGAATAAAAACTATTAGCAACTATATATTTCAAAGCTTATTAAAATTAAATTATATTTTATCTTCATTCTACGAATTTTGAATAAAAGGTTGTCAAATTTTTCTTTATTTATTTTATTCATTTAACAATATTTAAATGATTTCACTTTATTTATTTATATAACATTTGCATATATATATTTACTAATAATGTCAGCATTTTGATAGCGAGTGTTTTATGCATATGCATTTATAATAATATACAAGTACTAAGAAATTTATCCTAAAATATATATATATATTGTTTTTTTTTTCTTTTTATCAATCGAAATTATATATTTTCTCCGTCTAATAACTAAACATCTATTTGCTTTTTATACGTAGTTTTAGAAATATTAGTATTATATTTGGATGTAGTAGGAATAAAGTAGAAATGACAAAAATAATCTTATTAGTATGTGTGATATAAATGTAATGACATTTGTGTAATATATTGTAAGTTGTAAGAGTATTTGTAATGTTAGGTAGATAGTACAGTTACTAAAAAGGAAATGGATACTTTATTATGAGACAAACTAAAATGGAAAAATAGATACTTTATTATGGAACGGAGGGAGTATTAAAATCAATTCTAATATATATTGTATTGACTATTTATTATTAATTACACAATACATTTATATTATGTTAGTATTCATTTTGCATTGAAATCAATTGTGACATTTACAATGTCTATTGCTACAATGCATTCTTAGTTCATATTTTACCTATTGATTACTTCTAATACACACTCTAAGTCTCTAATTGCCTTTGAATAGAGACCATGTTTAAATAGAAATTTACTATTTTTATCTTCTTCTAAGGGTCATATTTATATTTTGCATCACTGTACTTAACATTAAAAATATCTTTATATTTGTATAATTTTTTATATAAAAAGTATTTTTATATATATATTTTTTAATTTTTACTATGTTCTGATATAATAATTAATATTCAAAGATCAACATGCAAAAAGTAAATGAGACTCTTAGAGCCGGACGAACGTAATATAAAATTTCAAAAAAAAATTAAAAAAATAAAAAAATCAGAATTTATTTGATTTTTTATTAAAAGATGCTATATGGTACTCTCCGTTCATCAAATTTATACAAATTTTCTTTGTAAAATTTAGCTGATGGAGATAATATAATTTTTGTAAATATTAAAAATATTTATATAAATAGATTTTTATTTTTTATTCTTTTAAAAAAAATACATGACTATGTTGCGTGCATTCTATACAGCAATGAGTAACAAATGGCCTAACTCGAATCTCCCACAGGATGCGGACGTGCTATGGCTAAGAAACCCGTTCAAAAAACTAAGCTCAAGCGGGTCCCACGACCTCGAGATCAGCGTCGACAAGTTCAATGGCGACGAGTCGTCGATGGCCAACCCGATCAACACGGGCTTCTACCACGTGTGGTCCAACGACCGCACGGTGTCCCTATTCCGCGCCTGGCACGAAGGCCGGCGCAATTCCACCGGCCTCAAAGAGCAAGACGTGCTCCTAAAGATGGTGCGCCGTGGGGCGCTCTGGAAACTCGGCGTCCGGACAAGGTTCCTCGACACGCTCTACTTCAGCGGGTTTTGCCGCGACAGCAAGGACGTCGAATCAGTCGCAACGGTCCACGCCAACTGTTGCCGGACGATTAAGGCGAAGGTGCTGGACCTGAAGAAAGTCCTGGCCGACTGGAGGCGGTTCAAGACGGAGGGGGTTGTTAATAAGACGGCGGGGTTCACATGGACGGCACATGGCGCGTGCATGCGCTCGTGGAAGTCCAAGGGGTGAAATGGTCATTTTGCGAAAAAACAGGTACGAGGCTTTTTAGAGTTATATGGTAGTCAAAATTGAATGAGATTTATTTCCATGTCTATATTATATATATGTGTCTATATTGTTGATTGGTTGGGTCGTTATAGTGAGAAGAAAAATAATAAAATTTTGAATTGAAATAAATTTTTTGATATTATATATATAACTATATAAGATATATTTTCTATTTGTTTGACGATAAGTATCTCTTTATTATTATTATTTTTTTTAAGTTTAATAAATATTGTATTTAATTATGTAAATACTATTTTGTTGCTATTGATGTGTAGTAAAGCTATATTTACTATAAAGTATACTTGATACTAGCGTAAGTATCCGTGCGTGCAAAACAAGTACATTGATTATTTTTTTGAGGGATCTTTATTAATTAAAATAGAAACTTTAGACTTGTAATATAGGATGTACATGTCATTTCTTGCAATTATATTATCCTTCATTTTCATGGAGTGTTTGTATATGTATGATATTTTTAAATATATTTTTCTCTAATGCATGATATCTAAATTGTGTCGCAAAAGAAGGTCCTTTCAATATAGAGGATCCCAAAAAAATACTGTGTTTCGTTCATTTGTATGTTTGTTCATATCCGTGATATGATTCTCCATGCGGATCATCCAACACTGGGGTATCATACAGATTCATTTTCATAATACCTCGGTATAAATCCTCTACAACCACTTCTAAAAGAATGATCTGAGGGAAAATTCTACCCATTGTAATCTAACAATTAAATTATTAACTATATTGATAGAGCATCTTAACATCCCAGTTGTGCTTCATCTAAACACCATACCATACCAAATGATCCAATAGTTTATAATAGAGTAGCACGCATGTGAAAATTTTGTTTTGTATATGTATCATATGCTCTATCCGTACACCATATTTAGTCCATTTGGGTTCGACAGAAGAATTAAAAAAAATAAATATTTTATTGAAAAAATATAAAAAATAAAAAGATAGTTGAGAGTGTTTTTGATAATTTCGGTAGTATTTAAAAATAACGAAAAGACTAATGTAATAAAATTAGTGATATTTATAGTAAATAAGCGTTGAATGAAAGATAATAATTAAATATAATTTTTTTTACCATTCCAAATATATTAATGGAGTAATTTTTTTTTTAAAAAAAATGAAAATAAATATGATGGAAGTATTATATAGAGCTGGCAAAAACTGACCAACACGACAACCTGACACGATCCGACACGAAATAATTGGGTTTGGGTCAAATATTTCAACCCGATTATGTATACGGGTTGACACGAACCCGACACGATAGTAAACGGGTCGGGTTAGGGTTGAGGCTCTCAACTCGAATCCGACACGACAACCCGATTATAATTTATTAATATTGATTAATATATTTATTATATATGTAAAATAATCATGATTTAATAATTTTCTCATAAATTAATTTAAACTAAGTTCAATTTTAAATAATTCGACCTAATTACACTCAAACCAATAAAAACTAACATAACACGGCAACGTAACAAAAAAATTATTTAATTTGAATTAAGAAATTCGACTTAATTATGTATAAGGGTCAACACGAGTCAACCCGAACCCGACACGATCATAAACAGGTCGGGTTAAGGTTGAGTAATTTAATCCGTTTAAAGTATTCAATCCGACATGAACTCGATACGAATCGGCCAATTGGCAGCTCTAGTATTATATACCCTTCTTCCCAAAGTTTAAACCATTTTTCCACAATGAGTTTTTTTGGTTCATGAATGACAACTTCTAGATACATTTCTTTTTTTCTATCTACAAGTATCGTGGAGGAAAATGGTAGAGAGTAAGACTAACATGCCAATACAGAGTAATTTTTCGATGTAAGTACCAAATTGAGCAAATCCGTCAATACATAACCCTAACCGCTCCTAAACCGGCAAACCGGCGGTTCGGAACCAATGGGCAAGATTTTACAATACCAGTTATTCGCTAGGACCCGACCGAACAATTAAAAGTTATTTTCGGGTCGGATCCTACTTCTTCCTCCTCTTTTCTTCTTTGGATCAATATCAGTCCAAACCCTACCTTCTTCTTCTTCTTTCGATCGATCGGACCAAAACCTAGCGGGAATCGGAGGAAGCAGAAATGGCGACGCTGAGGAATTTGAAGATAAAGACATCAACCTGCAAAAGAATCGTCAAGGAGCTGCACTCGTACGAGAAAGAGGTCGAGGCAGAGTCTGCCAAAACCGCCGATATGAAGGCCAAGGGGGCTGATCCCTACGATCTCAAGCAGCAGGTTCGTTTTCTACTAATTCACTCACGCAATGCTCTGTAATCTGCTTCAATTTTTCCCCCTTCTCTTCTCAGTCTGGCTCTGCGATTTTACCCAGCAGTTCTGAAATGGTTTGTAATGCCTAAGTTCGCTAATTGAGAGAACAACGTTTCGATTAGTGATCATTCTGCCAAACATTTTCGCTACTGAAGGAACTAAAAGTTCATAATCGTAGCTTCCAACTTGTTTGGTGAATCTATGTGTAGATTAATGGAGATGGATTTTATAACTGAGTTTTTGACATATTGACTATGCAAAGATGTTACGGCGAGGATAAAGTTTGGTAGACTTCCCAAATGACTGTTTTACACATTTCCTTTAGATAATGCTCATGAACATTAATTTTTTCAGTAGATTGGTAAAAACTATTGTTCTGATGTATACTCTTCAGGAGAATGTGCTAGCCGAATCAAGGATGATGGTGCCGGACTGCCGCAAGCGTCTAGAAGCTGCTCTGAGTGACCTTAAAGGCACTTTGGTAAGTAAGGATGGTTTAGGTGCTCGTCTCATTCTTTAATGCTGAATCAGTTTCAGTGCATTGTTGATAAATTACGAATGAGTTTGCTCAATGTATTTGGGAAATCAAAAGGTAATATTGTGTTTACAAGATTTAAATTTTTTGAGAAGATGAGTTTCTTTAGGTGTTTTTAAATACTTTTGATGTCACCGTGTTATAAAAGCATGATATCCCGACCATAAAGTGTTATAATTTACATGGGTGTGGGGAGTTGATTTTTCTTTGCATTCGTATGATGTTCGATGTTTTATATTTTGGTTTCTTTAAAATTTTGTAAATCTGAATGCTGAATGCTTTTAAGTTTATTTTTATTTAAAAAATGCATATGGCTAGTTGAAGATGGCTGAGGAATGCATATTGTTGGTTAAATGAATCTTTTGATCAATCAAACGCGTCTATTCTCTTTGAGTGTTTCTTTTTTTCGATTTTCTGTTACTATGCAATCCTCCTGATTTCCTATAAAATTACATTATATATTTTCTCAGAAAGCATCATATCTACTTACTCCACTATTTAAATATAAAATACAAACACACGTGTTTGTTTTACTTAGTCAAGTTGTAGTAACAATGATCTAAAACTTTCATACGATGCTATTAAAATGACGAGACGTGTTAAAAGAATGGATATTAGATTTTTTTATGATGTGAGTTCCGTTTATTGTGATGAATTTAGTTGAGTAGGTATTCTGTGCTTTCTGTTTTTCCTTGGCCGGAAAATTCTAAATGACGCTTCGTGTTAATGAGAAATTATGAAAGTTACCCATTAATACACCGGATTCATTTGAGAGGTTTTCTGGTGCTTTTTATGCAGTTTATTTTATAAAAGTAATATACATATACTTGATTTGTAATTTACTTACCCACTATCCTTTCAACCTGTGGCATTTCTATCTAGCATTACCGATTTTGTGAGGAAATCACATCCAAATTATCATTAAAAAGGTACAAAAATTCATCAACTAAATATGAGAATTTTTTGGTCCGCTTTAGATTGATTCATCTAGATTATTGTGTTTTTTACATTTCTTAGCTTAATTTTTTGTAGATTCAGTTTTTTACATTTCTTGATCTGTTCATTTCATTTTCTATACAACTCTATTCTCAGTTATTCTTTCTCTGCAATTTTATCCTCTGTATCAAAAACATCCTTAAGACCATCTCCAACCCAGCACCGTTAGTCGGTAGATTTGGAATCGTGCGGAGCAACGCCAATTTTTTGGCATTGCTCCTATTTTTTTAATTTTAATTTTTAAAAAAATTTTAAATTTTTTATTTTAACTTTTAAATTTATTTTTTATTTTTAAAATTTTTTAAAAAATTATTTTAAATTATAAAAATAAAAAGTTGTTTAAAATAATAGGAAAAATTGAATATTTGAAGAATAATAGTGAAAAATGGAGTTATGGTTGGAATAAAATTACTGTAGCAAGTTAAAACTGAATAAATAGAGTTGATGGGTTGGAGATGGCCTAAGTCTTGATCGCCAATTTGTCATTTCTCATTTGTTGCACATGATTACATATGGTGTGGATCCCATTAAATGACACCAAAAATCTACTATACTGAATGATCATTACAGAAATTTTCGCTTCCTATTAGTATGCATGCATTTATATATGAAACATGTTATTATCTACCTGTATTTTGTAGACTGAGCTGGAGGAGTCAGGAGAGAAGGAAGCTTCAGAAATTGACGATGCTCGTAGCACGATTGCACAGGTTGAGCAGTTGCTTAGCTCCTCGGAAGGTTAGTAACCCGATCTAGCGAGTGATATTTATCGAATCGTCGAATTTGTCTTGCTTGTGAGTGTACTGTTACATTGCTAAATGGAATGGGATTCAGAATGTCTTTGGCTAGTTTCATTTGTTTGCAATTCTGTGCACTCACTCTTGAAAATGATCATTTGACATTTGTTTTTTGGTGTGAGATTTTAATGTTTCAACTTTAATCATTTGAATGAGTTGCCATTGTTGTTGAAGTAAACTTTAGTGAATACATTTTATAATTCATTCATGTTCTGATTGAATATAATTAGATAGGATAATAATAATAGCATTATAATACTCTTTGGTTGTGTTTTTAGCAATTCGGGCCACCCCGGTTTTTTCGAGCTGGCCGGCCCGACCCAATTCCAAATCATACTGCGTCAGCACCGCTTGATTGCAAATCGGGCCTTGAAAGGCCGGCTCGAGCACGACCCGGTCTTTTTAGCTTTGAGAACAAAGTATACTTGAATAATAGAAGTTAAAAATTGAACCACAACCAAATATATAAAAACCATTTTAAAAATCAGGCTGGGCCAGGCATTACTCGATCTTTATAAGCCCAGGCACGGTCCAAAAGTTTTCGAGCTATTTTTGGAGGCCCAAGTACAATTTTTTTTAGACGGTGTTTATTTTTTATCACTCCTAGTTTTTAGGAGTGTGATAGAATTTTGGGATATTTTTGGGTTGTTTTATTGTAGCTTGGTTTTGTGTTTGAATAGTAACCTCTGTTTAATCGAACTTTGGTTTTAGTTCTTTTACCGGATAATTTTCACAATTTTTTTTTTTTTTATAAAAAAATACTCTCTACGTCCCACATAATTTGTCTCTATTTTCTATTTTTGTCCGTCTCACATAATTTGTCATTTTCTTTTTTGGAAAATTAATTATACACTTTAATCATATTTTAAAATTTAAAATTTAAATTTTTTTTAATCTTAATTAAAATATTTAGTTATCTTAATCTTAATCTATAATTATTTTTACTAAATAATAATTATTTTTACTAATACATTTATTAATTACTTACTAATTATATTTTACATAAATTCTCGTGTTTACAGTAATACACCTATATTACATGGGACGAGGGAGTATATCATTTGTCGTAGAGCTGGCAAAAACTGACCCGACACGACACCCTGATACGAAATAATTGGGTTTGAGTCAAATATTTCAACCCGATTATGTATAAGGGTTGATACAAATCCGACACGATAGTAAACGGGTCGGCTTAGGGTTGAGGTTCTCAACTCGAACCCAACATAACAACCCGATTATAATATATTAATATTGATTAATATATTCATTATATATGTAAAATAAACATAATTTAATAATTTCCTCATAAATTAATTTAAACTAAGTTTAATTTTAAATAATTCAACCTAATTTATGATCAATCCAATATAAACTAACATAACACAACAACACAACAAAAAATTATTTAATTTAAATCAAGAAATTCGATTTAATTATGTATACAGGTCAACACGAGTCAACCCGAATCTGACACGATAATAAACGAGTCAACCCGAACCCGACACGATAATAAACGGATCAAGTTAGAGTTGAGTAATTTAACCCGTTTAAAGTATTCAATCCGACACAAACCCAGCACGAATCGACCTATTGCCAGCTCTAATTTGTCGCAAAATATTATGTACATATGACACAGAACTATTCAAGTTGAAATTTAAAAACAACCATCAAGTAATCAAATCTTTTAATTATGAAAATTTTATTTTTAGTACTCCAGCTATTTTATTAGTAAGTGTGGAAGGCCTAAGAAAGTTGACAAATTTACTATTTGCAAGTATATGGTTCTCACTTATATTAAGAATTTGTTTGTGTTAACACTATGTTTAAAATTTATATAAGAATTAATATACTTTTCGTTCGCCTCTAAGATTTACATTTAATTTTTACATTATTATATTTAATATTAAAAATATTCTTATATTTATATATTTTTTGTTTGTACAAATGTCATTCTATTAGTATTATAAGACACTAATGAAAGTATTTTTGTATTTTTTTTTTTTAAATTTATATTACATTTTAATATAATAATTAATATTCAAAGATCAACAAGTAAAAAGTAAATGAGACCAAGAGCCGGACGGAGGTAGTAATATTTTCGTATGATATAAATATACATGTCTGTTGATGGCTGACAATTAGTTGTTAGCTGATTCGATTAGCTGTTAGTTGATTCGCTTAGCTGGTTTGACTAGCTGATTTGATTAGCGGTTTGTATTAAAGTGTTTGGTAAAATAGCAGTTTGATATTAGCTGTTTATACTTAAAATGTTAATTCGAGATATTTTATATATTATTTTCAATATATTTAATTGAATTTTTTTGATTGGTAGATTTTTTTTAGAATTGTATTATTAATTTTAAAAATTAGAAATTTTTTATTAAAATATTTATTTTTATTATTTTTAAAATATTTTGTAAAAAATTAATGCAAGTTAATTGAAAAATATATATCTATTTCATTAGAAATAGTATAAATATAAAAGAACAAAAATATAGTATATATATTTTTATTATATTAATTTTTAATTAATATATATTTCCACTAAATTTATAATTTCAAATAAACCTATTCATTTTTAATAAAAATATTATGCGATAGAAAAATACTATATAAATGAATCAATAATATTTTTATTCTAAAAAATTTAAATATATATATAAATAAGATAATTGACATATAAAAAAACAATTATTTTAAATTTATAAATATGAATTTATAATTTATTAGAAAAAAAAATAAATCCAAATAATTAATAAATAGTGTAATAAAAAATAAATATTAATATACGATGAAATAATTAATTAATTTTAAGAGCAAATAAAAAATAAAAAAAATTAAAATAAAAAAGCTAATCTACCAAACACCCTCAAAGTTAATTTTGTAATTTTACTATATATTTTCAATGAAGTAATTAATTAATTTTGTATCAGTAAAAAAAATTAATAGTGCACTAGTAGAGTCGCTGCAGCAAAAGAGCATACACTAGTTTATAAATACAACACTGCAATGCTTTTTATCTTTTCATTATTTAATTTTACCTTTTTAGGGCAGGATTATTCTCCTTTATACCGGTGTTTTTAATTAAATTATATTTGATTTTTTACAATCAAATAAAAAAAATTAATTATATTTTTAAACTATAATATGCATAATTATATGAGAGAGACTGAAATGAATATACCGATTACTTTTGCATCATTAATAGATTTGTTTAATTTTATGATTGATTTCAAACGTAAACATATATATATATATATTTTATATGTATATTTTTATAGATACATGAAATAAAAACATATTTATTAATATAAATATATTATCACCATTAAATATATACAATTACTATTTTTTCAAATAAGCACTCTAATTATTACGATACAAAAACAATACCTCCCTTAATAAATTATCACAATTACTTTAAAAATTAAAAAATTCAAAACTAAAATTCTTATCTAATCAATAAAAATTTATATCCTTAGAGGCTTAAACACTTTGATTTTTAACTGTTTATTCAATATTTTTCAATAAAATAATTTTTCATAAATATTATGTAAAAATACAAATATATATACCTTAATATAATATATATATTATAACTCATAAAATGTTAATTATTTAAGAAAAAAATATATTATTTTTTATATTATCATTCTCATACTAGTGTCCAAAAAATTCAATTCATTTAAAAATATTTAAGTTAGGTTATGTTTCATTTTTTTTTTTCATAAGATTAATTTCATAATACTTCCTCCATCTCACCTACTATATCCACGTTGGCGTTTCCGTCCGTCCTACACGTGTTATGTCACTTTCTTTTTTTAAAAAATAATTACACACTTTAATTTTATTTTAAATTTCTTAGTTTAATATTTTTTTAATTTTAATTCAATTAATTAATTATTTTACTATTAATTTATAATTATTTATATTATAAAATAATTATTTTTATTAATATATATTTAATTATCTATTAATTATAATGTGAGATGGAGGGAGTAATTTTTTAAAATCATAATTCAACAGAGAAACCCGCCGGCCGGCTTACATATAAATATCTGATCTGAACTCTGTCTGACATTCGAACTCCATTCATTCATTCATTAGTGGAGTATTTTCCACTGAACCTCCACCGCCGCTCCCCACCCTCTCTCTCTCCTCTCTCTCTGTAACCGCCGTAGTCTCGAACCAACACCTCTACGATGTCTCTGAGCAAAGGAGAATTGGCTGGTCGTTTCCTCGGACGCTGCATTTTCACCGGTTTCGGAATCGCCCTCGGCTGTGCAACCATCGCTAAATCCTTCTTCCTAGTTAACGGAGGCCACTGCGCCGTCGTCTTCGACCGTTTCCGCGGCGTCATTGATGATACTTCTGGAGAAGGCCTGCACTTATTGATCCCATGGATTCAGAGACCAGTCTTCTTTAACATCCGCACCCGTCCCCACGCTATATCCTCTGTATCAGGTTTGTTAGATTTTCGAATTTTTCTGTTGAAATTTGTACTCGTGATTGCCGCAATATTCTTATGTGTCTTTTTTTTTTTTTTTTTTATGCCATAGAACTTGACGTAACTGAACATGAGCTGCGTGAATCGTGATGATCTGTTATCTTTAACTTGCGTGTGTAGTACGATTGAAGTTGTTCGTGTTTTTGCGAGAATATATTATTAGAACTGGAGAATTTCTTATGCTAGATAATGAATGTTTCAATCAATCTATTCATTCAACTAATTGATTCGTCGTTTCTTTGTAAGTTTCTTCAATTCATTTTATTATTACTTTATAGCGTTTTATGATCTATAATTTGCAAGCAAATGCACCTCAATTTACTGAATGAACGAAGTTTTTTCTGGTTTCAAAGAATAATCATGTTGAGCCTCATCAGGATATCTTATTAAACCTCTAATTTCATTCATTTGGTTTACGCATAGTTTTGATCTACTCCAGAAACGAATTCGTAACACACTTCTACTTCTCTCAGAGTAAAAACTACAAAATCGTTTTAGGATTTGTGATCTAAAACAATCATCACCGTTTCATCACTGTTTGTTTCGAATGATATTCATTGTATCGTCAAACATCAGCACGTTCCTTGTGCATATAATGTTCATCTAAATTGAATAGTGTGGCTAAGTTCGACAATTCTATGGCGACAGAACATTATTTTGTGTTCTGAGTGTTATGAACTTATGATAGCAATACATCTCTCCAAAATCGATATCAGTTTAAACTTCTTGTAGCTCTTGATTTACACTAGATCTCTGATAATGTTTGGCATGTTTAGTTAATGCATTCATCACTGCAAACTGAATTTTCCCCCAATGACTACAGGCACCAAGGATCTACAAACTGTGAATGTAACTCTGCGAATCCTATCATGCCCCGAGGTAATTTTCCTTCCTCGAATTCTAAGAGAACTGGGCAAAAACTACGACGACATAATCCTCCCATCCATTGCCAAAGAAGTTCTAAAATCTGTCGTTGCACAATTCAACGCCGAAGAGATTGTAACAAAGTATTACGACGTTACTGACATGCTACAAGAAAAACTGAACAATAAATCAAGAGCTTTCAACATTCTTGTGGACGATGTTTCGATCACACACTTGTCATTTGGCGAGGAGTTCTCAAAGGCTGTGGAGCAGAAGCAGGTGGCACAGCAGGAGGCAGAGCGGTCTAAACTCATGGTGTCGAAATCAGAATACGAGAGTAAAGCCGCCATTGTTAAGGCTGAAGGTGAGAGTGAATGTGCCAAGCTGATTTCCGAAGCTACTGAAGCTTCCGGAACAGGTCTGATTGAGCTGAGGAAGATCGAAGCTGCTAAAGAAAATGCTCAGGTGCTGTGCAGCCATGGAACTGTGATGTATTTGCCGAGCAACAACAACGTGCTCATCGATGTCAAACCTCCCTGCAAATCTTGAGGTAAACTTGCCTTACTGGAATTTCTTTTTCTGCATTGCTTTTTTAATTCTGTTTTCGTGTTCTTGATTTGTGTGGCTTTTGCATCTACTTGAGCTCTTTTATGATTTGGTTTTGTTCTTATGCTTTTCCGGTGTTATAATCGCACTTTTTTGTTGGAAATGAGAGATTGAACGTAGTAAGCTTAGATCCTCTACAATGTCTAGCTCCTTCCTTGCCTTACCTGAGATTTTTTAGTATGTGTGTTTTCCTATTAGGTTAAGCTTTTTAGGTGAAATGTCGTTCAATATTTGAGGACCTCATAGTTTGAAAAATTTGAATGGTTGTGCTTAACCTTCCATGGAATATTTGGGAATTTTGTACTTTTGAAAAAAAATTTAAATAGCAAAACGTAAATTTAGTTTGTTACGGAATCAATTTTACATTCAAAACATTGCATCAACACCTATTTATATCACATCATACAACTATTTAAATTCAAAATTTTTACCATTCAAATCTCAATTCAAACTCCAAACCCTCGAACAAACACACTGTATTGTAAGAGATGATAAATATTGGATAATTTTATTTTTTTGAATAAGAAAAAGAATTATTTTTGTTTGGAGGTTTGGGTTTTAAATTGGGATTTGAGTAGTAAAAATTTTGAATTTAAATAATTGTATGATGTGATATAAATAGGTGTTAAGTGATCTTTTGAATGTAAAATTGATTTTTAGTATAATATAAAAAATGAAAAAAGAAGTGTTTGATTTGATATTTTTTGGGGAAGAAAAATGGGATTGGATAGTGTATTTAAAATCCAACCTCAAACAAACACACCCTAATGAATGTCAAAAGTTCCAAAAGTGTAAGTGAACCAACTTGATTAGATTTTCGAAAATGTCGATTGGCTATCCATACCTATAACTTGTACGATTATGTTACTTTTTTTCAAAATAAAAAAAATAAAAATTATTACTACATATTTTAATCTCATTTAAAAAATTTTAATTTATAATTTTAAAAATTTTAATTAAGTAATTATTTATTTTAATTTTAATATATTGATTTATATTATATAGTAATTATATGTACTAATATATTTTTAATTATATATTAATTATAATTTTTAAAAATTTTTATGTTTCCAATAATTCGGATACAGTAACCTGTGAAAGTATTTAATATGTAATTTAGTAGGAATAAATTGTATATAATATAATTTTTTAATTGATAAGTAACGCTATTAAAATTATCTATATAACATAGCTATAATCTCACTTTATATATATATATTTTAAAACTATTTTTTACAAAATTCACTAATAAATATTTTCAAAGTTATATTAAAATAAATATTAATATTTAATTAAACTATTATATAAAAATTATTTTATATATAAAATTTCATATCCAACATTTATTTTCATTATACAAACTTATCTTTTTTTTTTCTTTTTTTTTTTTTTTTTTTTTTTTTTTAATTTTCAATTTACTGGTCCCATAATTCCACAACTGAATGAATGGAATTGAATTCGATGGATCCATTCTAATATTGCTACTCCCTCCCTCACACATTCATGTTATATTTACTGGAGATAAAAAGTACAGATAATATATATATATATTTTTTTAAATGTTAAAAGTAGCGGTAATTGTGTAATAAAAATAAAAAAATCAGGGTAATTTTACGATGATATGATTATTTATAAAAATAAGACAATTGTTTTGGGACGGACAAAAATGATAAATAAAACTATTGTATTAAGACGGAGAAAGTATTTTTTTTATTGATTTATATAATTGTATAAACTTATGTAACAAAGTTTACAAATTTATTATATTTTATAAAATACAAGTAATATTAATAAATAATACTATTATTTTTACTCAATATTGAGTCTCAAATTCATTTCAAAACTCCTCAAGGACAATATTTCAAGTATAAATTTGATTTGACTTATCATCCTTGTAACAAATCTTATTGTCCAATGCACCGTAAGGCATTTTTATTGGGCAACAGATATGTATTTGAAAAAATTATACAGTAATAAATTTCAATTTCGGGTATATATATATATATGAAAGAATAACAATAATAATGATATGGGCCTTCCTTTGGGCTCATAAAATAAGCTTCCCAATCCTATAATTTAAATAGACTACAAATAAAATTAAAGAAAAGAGTCACCTAAAGTACATATAAAAATTGAACTACAAAAATGATCGACTGCAAAGTAAGTGTGTTCATCTTCTTGTATGTTTCTTGGATGATTTTCTTTTCTCCAATCCAAGATATTTACTCATGTCTTCTTCCCCGCCGTCGTCGTCTTCCCCACCCCTTCGCCTCTTCTTGCCGGCGGCACTTTCTTTCACTTTCTGCATAAATACAATGTTAGACTCGCAGCCGGGGCACAATTTGCTAAAACACATTAACCGATGTGGTTTCTATGAATATTCATTCGTATACCATTTGCGCTAATCTTTTGGCTTCTGCAACTCGTTCCAATAGCAACAACACTTCTTCCTCCCGGGTCGGGTATTCAGGCAATTTCTTACCTGTTGTCGATAGATACATAATATGTGAGAGTGAAGATTTTCGCAATTATTGTTTTTCAGTTTTTGTCAGTTACCTATAAGCTTCTCTATTTGTAAATACCATTCCAACTCGTACTGATTTACAATTGATATTGCGACCCCTGACCGCCCAGCTCGGGCAGTTCTCCCAACCCGATGTACGTAGTCCTGCATGTAACCAATATATATATATATATATATATATGTGTGCAAGAATTTTAGAAGATATTATAATTGATGAACCAATTAGAAACTCTCGACAGTTCATTAAAAATCGAGGATTGTTAACCTTGGAGTTCATAGGAATGTCGTAGTTGATAACCATGTCTACCATGGGAATGTCGAGTCCTCTGCTGGCGACATCAGTGCATATAAGAATGTTACATTCACCAGCCTTGAACTTGTTCAAGGCTCCAAGCCTTTTCGTCTGCAATTATAAAAAGTTATAGAATGAACACAGGGGTGGGGTGGGGTGGGGTAGGGTAGGTTTGTAATGAGATGACGGGTAGGATACCTGAGTCATATGCCCATTGATTGGGATCGCTCTAAATCCAAGATTCCGAAGCATATGAGCTAAAAGAGCCGTTGCATCACATGTACGGGTGAAAACCATAGATGTACTTCCCGACATCTCGGTCAATATATATACAAGATAACAGTCCTAAAAGAAAAAGCAGACAAAAGGGAAAAAATAATGGTATCGATCGATGTCAAGAAAAATGAAAAATCACATTAGCAAAAACTATCGACCTTGTACTTTGCAGGAACAAAGCAGTATTGTTGCTTCAGCGTATCGACCGTAGAATACTTGGAAGCAGCTTCAATCTATAGTCGAATTTAAATAAGAAATTTATTTCGTAGAAAACTAATGGGAAAGAATCGCGCAGCTACCTTACCTTAACAGGGTTTTTGAGACAAGCTCTTTGCAGCTTTTTCACCTGTCACAAATGGCAACCACAGATTACAAAAACATTCGAGAGAAATATCTATATATATATATATATATATATGCTCCCTCCTTCCTTTAACAATCTATCCATTTTTCCATTTAGGTCTGTCCCATAACAAAGTATTAATTTCTTTTTTAGTAATTGTACTATCTACCTAACGTTACAAATACCCTTCCAATTTACAATATATTTCACAAGTGCCATTACATTTATATCATACAATACTAATAAAGTTAGTTTATTCTTTTTATCTTTATTTCTACTACATCCCAATATAATACTAATATTTTTAAAACTCCGTGCAAAAAGCCAATAGATATATAGATATGGGACAGAGGGAGTATATATATATATATATAGATTGATGGATTAACATAAAAGACTCCATTGCTTTCGTTACCTTTTTAGTCATGGTTGCAGAATATAAATATGTTCTTCTCTCACGAGGAATAACATTCAAGATTTCATCGATTGCTTTTTCAAAATCATCATTCAGCAATCTATCAGCTTCATCTAGAACCTATAAGAAAAATCAATCATCAATATATAAATCATCATTTCAGGTATCATATTAAACCCCAGAACCTCAACATATAACCAAATAACTTAAACCTAAATGCCAATCAATAAAAACTCCAATAATAAGCATGGGAAAAAATAATAACAACAATCCTTACCAAGTATTTCAATGTACGTAAAGAGAATCCTTTAGTATTCGATAGATGATCAACTAGTCGACCCGGCGTAGCAACCTAGAACATATAAGACAACAATCAACTCAATACATCATGCAAAATAATCAGCTTTTACATCAGCAATGAAGTTTCAAGAAGACAACAAATGGATACATGAACTTCGAATAATATCGAACTGATCGACAACCTCAAATTCTTACAATATGAACACAAATGGCTATATCAGTTACGAAATCTCATACAACAAATTAACAAAACCCTACCTGGATATGTAATGATAATCTAACAAAGTAAAACATCACAACAAACTACAAAAACACAATTACATATTTCTTTCATCGATTGAAACTAAATTAATCAAAATCCAAACTCACAACAATGTGCGGTCGCTTTCCTAGAGCAATGCTCTGCTGCACCATATCCACACCTCCCACAAGCTGCATCGAAAACATAGCCAAGGAACTCATTTAGCTAAATGTTTCAGATAATCATCAAAGGTGCAATATATATCATGGCAGCAGTAATTTGATTTTGATTTTGATTTTTGATCTTACCACAGCACACTTGACGCCAATTCCAGAGCCCAAGGCTTCGAACTGCTCCGCAATTTGAATGGCGAGTTCTCGCGTTGGGGATAACACGCACGCGAAAAACGCCTGTGGTGTTTCCAACAGCGATTGAAGAATTGGAATGGCGAAGGCGCCGGTTTTGCCCGAACCTGTTTGGGCGAGTCCGATTATGTCGCGTCCCTCCAGAGCAACAGGTATTGATTCGACTTGTATTTTACTAGGGGTTTTCCAGCCGAGAACGTCGCACGCCTCTACCAGCTGCTCGTTCACCCCCAAGTCCTTGAATGATTTATCCTCCCTCTCCTCCGCCATTGAAAGGCCAAATTAACGATTTCGAGCAAATACAGCGGCGATTGCAACACCAGCGC